GCTGGTAGATATTTACATAACGCAAATGCGTGAATATGTAACTGTAACGACCCAGGCAAGAAGAGAGATATCCGGAACAGGTGTGAATCCGCTACGAGGCATATGGGAGTGCTGGGATGATAAGAACTGTCAGGCTGGGCATGTGGCAAAGCCACCTCTGACCCATGACACCAAGGCGTGTAGCAAGGCTACCTCTGACCTGTATCTTGTAACAATATCAGTACTGTTCCAGCACAGGCTCACCATCAGTGTGAGCTATGATACCTTTTGGTTTGCTTGTATCAGTGGCCGGAGCTGAGGCTTGTAACAACGCGCTGCGAACAATGACCTGATACCATTAGTGTACGGTCCAGCGACTCATGACTATAGCCCTTGTTGCATGGTATAAGGTTGCACTAAACTGCCTCTAAACCCTTATATATAAGGAGCAACGAACTATAATATTATAGAGTAGTTTTTCTATATCCCTTTGTACAAGACCTATAACGTAGGTGTAGGGCGAGTCGCCCACTTTTGCCAAGACCCTCCCCCATCAAACCCTATTATAGCCTAAAACACCACAAACTAGCGCTGCACAAGGTAAAACAAGCTATAATATTACTTAGAGACCTCTTTAATATTATTCTTGCACGTTCGCGCGTTATGTCCACCCTCTCTACACTGTCTACAGCGTTGTTAGGATGGTTCACCTCCTTTAGCGCGCACTAGCTTCTTTCCCCTCTTTCTATTACTACGCGCTCTAAACTCCTTTAGAGCAGTTAACTGCTAGCCCTCTTTAACTGCAAGGCTTCCCTTAGCTTAAATACACTTTCTTTTGTGCAATTTGCGTTATGTAGTGGCCTTAGCAGCTGCTTTAAGCTTACAGATTTGTTTTTGTGTAAGCGCAAGCTTATACAACAGGATAGCTCCCCCCTTTATATAGTGCTTAATTGCGCTTAGAACAGAAGTAGGTGAGCTACCCTGCTCCCTCTTATATTTGTCTTAAATTAGAGTTAATTGCAACTTAAATTCTAGGGTATTGCTTAGGGTTTACAACTGCTAGGGCTTGTTGTTTATAAGGAGTAGTAGTGATAGAGTGCGCAGCTTTATATTAAGGGTTAATATAACCCTTTCTAGGTTAAAAGGGACTAATCTAGCCCCTTAGAACCCTCCCTAGATGTTGCTAGGGGTTATAGCTTTCTTGTAAGCTGCTTTAAAGCATAGCAGGAACTCCTACTTTGTAATGTGGTTAATCTAGTTATAAATAAGCTTATTAACCTTATCCCTATACGCCTTCTTTAGAGGGCCAAAACAACCTACGTCAAGTGGCTGCAGGAGGTGCGATAAGTGCGCAGGCATACATAGAGCTTTAATCTTGTAATCCTTGCAGTATTGCTAGAATTCTGTAGAGTTATTACTCTTATAACTATTAATAATTAGTATATAGTAAGTACTAACAGTGCGCGTCTTTGTATGCCTGTTAAAGTGCTTTAACTAGTTAAACCTAAGCCTATTAGTAGTCTAGCTATTTTTAGAGATACTAATAACCTAGTCTTAGGGCAGGGTATTGTCCTTATACTAGTTAGATAGGTGTTAGTAGGCTTTAAAGATGATGTAGGCTAGAATAGCCTATCCTGTAGCATTAATGCCCTTAATAACTGTTACCTACTCCTAGTTGCCTAGCTAGATCTGCTTTACTTGTCCTAGCTTCTCTGCATCTGTAACAACTACTCTAGTGCTTATCTAGCCTATTATAAAGCCTGTCTTGTTAAAGTAGTATATGTTATTGTCTAGGATGCTATACTTAGCTTTAATATTAGATACAAGGGTAAACTAGCCCTGTATAACCTTAGAGTCCTTACAGAGGACTTGCTTGTAGTTGTACTTGCGATTAAAGACTGTTTTGAGCTCCTCCTGACGCGAAATAAACGTGCTAGCCCACCTTAAGCTAATAGGGGCTAAACTGCGCTCTTTTCGCAGAGAATTGGCCATATTAGCCACAGCTGCGAGCCAGGGGGACTCTCCTCGCGTGACCAGCTCAAGTATGTACGCAACAACCACCTGCTCCTTAGCAGCAGTCAGATTCCGTGAATTAGCCATAGTATTAACGCGTGAAGGTTGTCTAGTGAGTTAGTCGCATAGAGTTGTTTAGGGCGCGTTGTAGAGAGCTGCAGCGCGTCTTACTAAGAGATTAGGGTCTTGTTAAAGAGCTAGTAGCGCAAGCTGTATCTAAGCCTCTTTAGACGCGTCTATTTAACGTGGTTGTGGAGGCATTAGTGTAGAGTTGATGTTTTGGTGGGGTCTTGGCAAAAGTGGGCGACTCGCCCTGGTGGGCGACTCGCCCTACACCTACGTTAAGTGTAGAGAATATATCCTAGTGTTCTTATCATCCCAGCACTCCTATATGCCTCATAGCGGACTCACACCTATTCCAGATATCTCTCTTCTTGCCTGCGTCGTTACAAATGTACTAATTAGATAATGTTAACAGAAATTTAATAGAAGGACCTCTAAGCTTAGTCTTCCTATTGTTATTAAGATATCTAATTTGTTAAACTTAACTCTTTACAGACAGTACAGAATGTATTATTATTAACTTCTATAATAAGTCTTTTAATATTTAAGGTAAGCTTTTTAATTACTTTCTTGCTAGGATAACCCTATATCTAGTAGGCTGTCCTAGCATTAACTATTTAATCTAGGTGTAGAGCCTTTAAAGGTTAGTAGGTTATGCTAAAAAATAATAGCAAAGTCTAGCTTAGACAACATAAGGCATTAGCGTCTACTAGCTAGTGCCCTCTATTATGCTCTAAGTAGGCAAGAACTAATCCTAGATTGCCCTTATACAGGAGATTACGTCCTAAATTAAAGTGTATATTAAGCTTCCTGCAGCGCGCTAAGCTAATTAGGCGTGTAGCAAAGCCTTAGACGTAAGTAATATAAGTAAGCTTTAGTAGTTGTATGTAACGGGCTAGGCCCGATGGTAGCGCCTCGGCACTCGCTGGCCTCGGCCAACCTCCGAGAAGAGGTGCCTGCCTAGCTGTACCCCTAGTCAGGAGGTCCTAATCTTAACTAATTGTGTCACCTCTGCACAGAGGACATAAAAGTCTGCAGATCTCTGCCTGCAGCTACCCCTTAACAAATCTATTTAATTTATACTTACAAATAGCCTGCAGAGTCTAGCTCCTTATATTTAGATTTATTTATCCTCTTTATTTGTTTATTTATTAAGTATCTACAAGGAACCACTCACAATAAGCAAAAACGCTAATGCTGTTGTAGGGTGCCTTGTTAAATACAGAATTAAACTCTACTTAAATACTAACTCCTAATTAGACATTTGCACAGAATTGCAACACCGCGCAAGCACTCTAGCACCTGCAGAATGGCTAGAGACTATTTATAAACGCGCTCTAACTCTGTTAGCTACTTACTTAGCCTAGGCTGCCCTACCTAAAGATATAGTTAGGTTGCTAGAGGTTAAACAGCTAACAACTAGACCTCTAAACCCTCTACAAATACCTTAGCAATCCTAACTAATAGTTAACACAACAAACAACATCAGGAAAAGTTTTTCAAAATCTGGCCCAGACTGGCTGTTGCTGACAGTTGTGGCATAGTCATGCAACAGCTATTTAACAGCCCTAACAGCCCTAATTTGCGCCTAAGAGCCCTAATTTCACGCTAATATTACTAACAGCTAAAACACTAAGTGCCTATATTTAATAAACTTAAAACAATGTTGCAATATTGTTGCATAGCTACCCTTAGTTCTACTAAGTTAGCACTAGTATTAAATATTTAAAAATTGCAAAATTTCATGTACAGATAGAGCGAAATTGTAGCTTTAAAATAAGTGAAAAATTGTTATTGTAGGCCTACTACAACACAAGTTATAGAGCGTTGAAGGTTTGTTTGTTAAAGGTTTGTGTTTTGAAGTTGCGACAGCACACCATAGCAGCTGCAGCTGCGCCAGCACACAATGTATCAGCTGCAGCTGCAACAGCACACGACGTAGCAGCTGCA